ATGAAGTAACTACACAATAAAGTGAGTTACTCTCCAAAGTATGAATTTTATTTTAATTTCTAAATATTTTGAATCCATGAATCAGTAAAATGTGTGTCTGGCTCTGCAGATCTTACAGGAGGCCAATCCTGTAAAAATGAAACCTCAGAGCTGTGGTGACTCTGACCTGTTTACTGTAAAGTGTAGAAAACCTCCGTCAGCCTGTTTGTTACTGAATTAAAGATCAGAACCAGGGGTTCAGTCAGATGCCGCTGCCGTCTCTTTCTGTCACATCGCTCGTGTTCACCTGCCAACTGTGAGTCTGGGTGTGGTGTTTGCCTTCAGCATGATCATTATTGACTCACAGCGAGTTGAACGTCCTGTAGTTAGCGGTTTAGTGTGAGTGTTTACTGCTTCACCTCCATCTCATCGCTGAAAACTGAGCCTCTTTGGAGTTTTGGACTGATGGACGACGAGATGAGATTTAAAGGTTTTAAAATGTGTTTTGACAGGTAAGATTGGGAATCGTTTGAGTGAACCCATATGGAAAAGAAATAGTAAAAACTTATATGATTTACTCATGAAAGTGGCCACTTTCTCATTACTTTCATATATTGTTTTAGTAAGTATTCAAAACATACAAGTTTCATTATATAATTTTTCAAGGGATCTTATATCTGTTTTCACTCTTGTCTGCTTTTCATACAAGTTTCACACAAGACAGATACAAACTTTATAAGATTTATATATATCTTTTCCATATGGGAATAGTTCTCCAGGATTTCATGATTTCATCAATTATTCTGGTAGCTGATGAAAATTGAATAATTAATTAATGTTTTGTGGGTTTTTCCACCAGTATTGGCTGATATGCGACGCAGCAGGAGAAAACACGGCTCAAGTCAAATATTTTTTGATGATTTCCTTTTTTTATGTTTCCTAAAACTACAAAAACTTTAAAATGAACAAAAAAACAGGTTTCATTTATGCCTTTCAAAACACTTTGTACATGACGATGTCAAAATAGTCCATTCTTTGAGTTATTGTAGTTTAGTAATAATACAAACACGTAAATACACACTTATAGAACGATTGTACATTTTTAAACTTGTCATTAAAACTGCTGAAAAAGCAAAAGTCACCAGTGTCACTAACTGCAGATTCATGCTTCAGCAGAAAATCTATAGCTCAAGCACCTTGAGACTACTGTTGTTGTGATTTGGTGCTATATAAATAAAGTTTTGCCTCATTGTGATGCAGACGACAACTATTGTTGTGTTGATTCCTCGTGTGTATTACCGGCTACTTTTTCACTGCAGTTTTTTGATTTATCACAGAGAGAATAAAAATCACTGTCTCAGTATGAAGAATAATGATCCCAGCATTCATAAAGAATAACAAATGTCAGCAAATTCCTGGAGGGAGATATGAAGAAGGTACATGGTGGTGTGGCTGCGCTGAGCGTGCAGGTTTGCTGAACGAGGAGCTGGGTTACAAACGTGCTTTGTTTATTTGCAGTTGATTCATCAGAAGCTGTTCAAATGATATTTTTCAGACATATTTTTGAGAGATTTTTTGCACACAATGAAGTTAAGATTACAAAATATTTGAAGGTCTGCTTGTTCTTGATTGTGTTTTTTGTGTGTGTTTGTGCAGCCATGATTCTGGTTCTGTATCTTTAGCTGAGTTTTTGTGTACTGGGTCACGTGTGTGACAGGTCCAAAGACTTTATCTTTGGCACAATAATATGTACGTGACAAGTTAAAAAGCGTGTGTACGTCCTCAATCCTTGTAGGTAGCTGTCTGATCGCTCCATCACTCGACGTGCCCAATCCAATGTTCAAACAAACGTAGCACAGAAAAAAGCGTTTTCTGTCTGCTCTGTAAATCAGAAGCAGCTAGCCTGGAGTGTGCTGTGTCCTGCTGCCTGTAAGGCAAACATAAACTAACCTCATCCTGGTGTCTGCTGATCATTTTTTCTGTCTTGTTTCTCTTTACGGTTCTCCTCAGAGTGACACCATCTGTCCTCCTGTCTGGAGTGACGTGAGCCAGTCTGACCTTTGTCGATTGCTTCACTTCAACCCGGGAGGGACGAGGGGAGAAGGATGAGGAGATCACAAAACACTCAACAACCCAGCAAGCAAAACAACCAGCTGCCCCACTGAAGATGACCCAACAGAACAGCAAACTGACAGGATGGACTGCCCGCTCCTCCTGGTCCTCCCTCAGCCCTCTGCTCTCCCGCCCCTCCTGTCACCGTCTCTTCTTCCAATCTAATTGGGGTTGATCAGACACAAAGTGCTCCTCCCTATGGACAAATCCAGGCACTGCGCCTTTCTTCTTTTCTCCCACCACTGATTTTTACTGTATGTAAAATTGGATGAGCCTCTTTTCCTTTTTATTTTTGTTTCGTTTTTATTTTGGTTCCTGTTTCTCTCTGCGCTGGCCATCAGGGAATCTTGTAAAATACCAGTAAAGAATACATATACAGCACTTATACATAAATGTATTATAAACAGACACACACACACACACAAATGTTTGATCTGTTCTCAGAGTGTAAAAAAGGGTGAAGGTGGGTTGGTTGGTTGGTAGATCTGAATTCTACCTGCTCTGTTTAATTTTCCAGCCGGCCCTGAAACCGAACATTTGAATTTTATCTGTTGTTGTGAAAAATGGACCCCGTGTTGTCCACAGGACATCAAACAGCCCTTCTTTCCTTACCACAACTTTTGCCACCCTCTCCCTTTAACGTTTTCACCCTAAGTGTGCTCACTCGCTCACTCACAAGGCATTCTGGGATTTGTGGACCATACAGGGAATTGCTCTTCTGTCCACTCGGGACCATGCCACAGGAAAAGGGGAGAACAGTCATCACACCATGCTGGGGTCTCCAATACCCCCTCCTCTTTCCTCCCCTCTGCACTCCCACCTCCTGTTTGTATATAACATTGCCAAGCGCCTCTGTTCATCCCAGGCCTGATGATGTATTCACACTGTTCCCCTTTTTTTATAATCCATAAGAACAGAGTATACCTTGCCACCGAGAGCTCGGTCAGTCACACGAAGAGCTTTTGAGGCTTAAGATATGACTTGATGGTGAACTCTGTGTTCTGAGATATGATGAGTCGGTTGTGCAGAAAAGGGCAGGCTTTGCTGAAGAAAATAAAGCTGTACATTTCTGGGAACTTAATTTTGCAAGGACTCAAAGGTTTACCATATATGACATAGAGAAAGAAAAATGCTAATAAAAAAAGTCAAACCTGCAAGCGGTGTGCTTTTACAACACTGGGAATAATCACCCATTCACTCTTTATCGTTCCAGCAACTTTGGTAGTATGTTGAAAATGACATTTAACTTGTTTACTTGCCTGTAGTAAACTAACTGTCAACCAATGATATTGATAAGTTCAGTTAATTATAAGGGGCTGAGCATCTTCTGGGTGAGCCATGTAAAAGCTAGCATGTGAAGAAGGCTATACAATCAAAGGCAGTGGTTACAAAAATTGCTTTTACTAAGACTAATAATTAGCTACCAAACTGAAATGAAATGGATGAAAAATACTTCTAAAATGAGTACGTGGCTGAAGGATAATGATGAATAACTTGGTAAAAATGACATTTCTTGCAACAAAGGACTTTTCGCTAAAGCAGTGTTTAAATGTATTCCAATAAAGAAATGTATAATTAGCTAAAGGTAGCTGACACATTAATAGCAATGAATATGGAAATGGCTACAGTAGCTACAATTCAGGTTGAATGTGTTTACGAGCAGTTAGAGAAAACTCGATGCAAGCTCAAGTATATTTCTGTTACTAAGGAAAACCAGTAAATGGTTAAGATGTTTTCTTTAAAGCAAAGAATGGTTAACCAAGAAACATATATACGAATAGATATAGTAACAGTTTCAGGTTGGCAAACATGCATTCTAAAGGCGATAGTTAGCTAAAAGTAAAGACTAACTTGCTAACATAGTTAGCTAAAAAGAAACAAGTATGTGGTTTACATGTGTTCCTAAAAGAGGGAGCTTCTCAGTTAAAAGTGTTAAACTTGTGAACAAATCCTGCGATTATTAGAGGTAAGAACAGTTCCGTTACATCAGGCCGGTTGTCCGACTGGTTCGTGAAAGCGTTTTCATTAAAACCCTGTAGTCTCAACAGCGACGCCTGGTGGTGAGATTCAGTGTTATTCGATCAAAGAGCCTGTGAGGGAGATGGAAATTTGTGTATGCAAAAAGCCAAATTAGCATTCAGTTTTTAACAAACTCCCTCTGTTACTGCAAACTATAGCACTTTGTACTGTTTCACTTCAAACTGAGCTACTGCAAGGAAGCTTTACCCATTATCCTCCTGTGTTGTCTCTCGGGAATGTCACATGCACTCAAAACTTACAGTAGGTTTGTTGCTGGCCGTTTCTCTCCCCCCATCCCAGGCAGAGCAGAAGCCCGGGGCCCCACATTGACACATGTAAAAGAAGAAAACGACAAGCCTTGATTAACTGTAAATAACTCCCAACGTGTTCTTAAACAGCACCTGGCTCTATTTGCATTTAAATGGGAGGCAGCACTATTACGTTAATGCGTTAACACTCCTTATCGCAACACCATTACGCATAGTTTGGTTAGTAGCTACATATTTGATCTGCTCTGCTCACGGTCCTCTATGTTAACTTGAATATATTTCGAGGTAGATAAAATAAGGACTTTTGAGTAAGTCCTGCCAGCTGTTTACGCGCTCTGGTGAAGGCCCTAGGAGAGGCTTACTGGAGGTTTATGTGGGGAAAAGAAGGGAGCCAGACAGGCGACAGCGCTGTCTTGGCCTCAGGGCAGAGGCAGGGAACGAGCAGGCGAGCCAATGAGAAGGAGACATCCACTCCTCTCTGTCCTGCTCGGCTTGGCTCAGTTCGGCGCGCCCTGTAATTAGGGGCTCTAGTTGGGTTGGGCGCCGCCACGGTGGACAGCCTGGCTGCTGCGTCAAGGGAGTTTGGGAACGCAAGCTTCAGACTGTGTGAGGAGTTTCTAAACAGTGCTGCTTCAGAGCTCAGAGCAAACCTGATCTGAGACGACAACAGCGAGATAAACGCCTGAAAATGAACGGGCAGTCCTCACCTGTCTTCGAGGAGAAGAAGCCCTCCATCCCCGTGGCCGGCGGTTCCATCTCGGCTTCCAAGGATTCCCCGACAATGCCGGAGTCCTCCTCCACAGATATGGGCTTCTATAGCGGCCAGAGCGCGCTCCACGGCTCGCAGGATTTCTACTCGGCACAGCAGCCGTACTCCGCTCAGCACATGAACCCGTACGCATACCACCACTACAGCCTGAACGGAATGGGTCCCGGCGGTGCCTACCCCGTTGGGAAGGCAGAGTACCCTTACCCCCATGCAGCATACAGGGAGCACGGAGCATTCAACAGAGAGGTTCAGCCAAGTCTGCAGGACAGCGGTAAGTTCACCCGTAACGGAAAGTTAAAAAAGAAAATATGCGCATAAATGTGATACGCACTGTTGCGTAAGCTGCTCTCCATCTTTGTCAAAGCCACACTGACCACCTGAGGCTGATGTATGGCAAGAGCTCATGTCTAGCCACATGAACCCAATAATTGCGCATGAGTTTTACGCACGAGAAAAAAAAGGAAGTTATTTTTGTTTTTCCATTTTCCCACTGCGTCAAACTCTCCACACATCACATTTCATAGATATGTGGAAGCATTCAACGGATTCTCAAATAACTTTCTATTGTTCATCACGAGAAAATGATTAGGCAGGAGCAAAATCCCACACACAATGGTGCAGGGCTCAGGGGAGAGGCGCTGGCTATAGAAATAACCTTGTAACGTGTCTGTGTAAAGAAAGAAGACTCACAAAGATATTATGAAGAGTAGCTGATCTTCAACTCTAAAAGTATTTTTTTCTACAAAATAAAAAAACAAAACAAAACAACCATGTTGATATGCAGCTGATGGAGTGCTACAGTTTGTGTTACCTTTTTTTAAAAGTCCCAAACGCTTTAAAAAAGGAAAGACAAGTCTATAAAAATCTATGCTTTAACGTCAATAAACATATCAATGAGAAGCTTGTCTGGGATATCATAAACAATTAAGGCATCAGTGTAGTTTCTATGAAGCAGGATGACGTGATAGGTACATATTCCTCGAAGAAACAGGGATCATCACCGGTGAGCTTCAGCCACTGCGAGCAGAGCCTCGGTGCAAAACGCTCCTGTTTGTCATCACTGCTTTGAACCTGATTCAGATCGTATTTTGATAGGGAAATGACGAGCAGGCCGAAGGCCTTTGGATGGGAGCCACGTTCCAGCTCTAATCAGTGACTTTTCAACCTCACCGGTATCAGCAGCGAACGACTTAACACGCAACCGGTTCACGGTGGGCTCAACGTGCTGATCCCGTGTCGGTACTACAGCACAGCAACGTCAACATTTTCAACAACAACCATAAAGCGAGTTCTCTGTAACTTCCCTTTGAGTGCAAAACAAACAAACAAAAGGAATTCTCTCTGGGCTCCTTTTTAGAGCTTGGAAGGTGTGCCGGCGCAAACTACAGGGAAAAAACAAGCTTGACAGACTGGTGCACTGTTTTTGGCATTCCAGTTGGGAGTTCACTCCTGGAAACGGCCCCGGGGGACTTTGGCCCACAGCCACGTACATCAGGTGTCACGACTTGTCAGTCAGCCTTGGCCTTTGAATCATTCAACGTGCATGGTTCCTTATCACGCAAAGCCTGTCGCCACGCCCAGAAAAATAAATAAATAAACAAAGGTGCAAATATGTAAACCCTATCACCTCTAACCAAACGATTAATGAATATGAACACAGCCCAGAAATGTAGACCTTTTTTAAAAGAATAAACTGGTTCTTTAAATACATTTATTCTCCTTTATAAATCCTTTAAATTCTCTTTCAAAAGTACAGAGTCTAGCACACAACTTTTAAAACAACCACAGTGTGTGGTTTAATATAGAATATAAAAGTTTAGTATAGAATAACTCCCACTTTGGCTACAAAGCCTGCAAGAAAAACACTGGAGTGGAATGTAATGAGTCTCTTTTGGAACTCTTACACGTGAAAAGCAATTTCAAAATGATGTTTTTAAGCCTGTTATAATTAAAATAGCTGGTAAAAAAACTGTCAATATAGACTGCTTTGTAAATAGTTGCCTTTCAGATTCAGGCATGCACGCAGTGCTTTACTATTGTTAAAAAGCTGCTTTATTCAATGCACCTGTACAAATCACACACTGATGATGCGATGGGGATTCATTTAGCATTGATTATTACTACTCACTTGTCGAACACTGCAGACCGGAGGAGCCGAAGATCAATTCGCTGACTTTCTTATGACTAAATAACTCACACTGTGTCCTGGACCAGAGCCGCCCAATGTGTTCTTCAAATACAAACAACGAGGGGTTGTATATTTAAAGAAAGACCCCCAAAAAAGGATACAAGAATAACAACAGGACAAATGAGCAGCGTTGTATACAGTCAGGCCTCCAGGCTACATGAAAAGCACCTATAAATCTCTGTCTCCCTCCCCAGCTGTGGGAGACACTCAGACCAAAATTATAAGCTCAGAGTGCTGTGCGGAATTTCTTTGAAATTTCGGGGTTTGCAGTGGCTCTGGCTATTTTTGTGCTAAAACGTCTCTGCACCAACTGCCCTGTAGTAAAACAGTGCAAGTCTAGTTCATTGAATGAGAAACGTAGGTGTGAAAAGGTAAAATATTGCAGTATTTTTACTTCTTTTTTGTTTTCCCTCGCCGCCACTGCAGTGAAAGAAGAACCAGACGTGGAAGTTAGGCTGGTCAACGGGAAGCCCAAGAAGGTACGCAAGCCCCGGACCATCTACTCCAGCTACCAGCTGGCAGTTCTGCAGAGGAGATTCCAGACAGCCCAGTACCTGGCCCTGCCAGAGCGGGCCGAGCTGGCTGCACAGCTGGGCCTCACACAGACGCAGGTGAGACTTTATGGGTGATAACTTTGCAGTTCAGTCATGACTTGCAGAATTTAAAAGCATCGGAAGTACCGGCCGAAGTGGAAGCACGGAAAGGATGTGAAGTGTCCTGTGAAATGGATGCGCTGATAGTATTTCACATTCAAATTTGGCTTCCTAAGGTCCTTTTATATGTAAGTCAGGGTCTAAAATGAAAAGGCCCTAAAGCAGTGGAACTATCAGAGACGTGAGAGATGAAAGCAGCTGAATGGACAGTGACGCTGGCTTTTTAGCAGCGATGTCAGCTGAATGCAAAGATTCACAGCATTTAATGTGGAGATGCAGAAGCAGCGCAGAAAGCTGAGGTGTTTGAGGTGTACTCTAAAGTTTCAGAGGCCTCAAAACTTGAAGATAAAGATGTTACAATATATAAAATTTACAAAAAACTGAACTGGAATCACTCCGAAATAAAGCGAAATGTATGAAAAATCACGCTTTTAAACCGCCCAGATGAAATTAGAGGAGAACACAAATACACTACACTGAACGCCTGACCTCGACTGTAGGCAGCGCTGCGAGTTGTTGCAGTGTGTCAGTCTGGTTTTTGCTGTCGTAATCTCCGTGCCCTGATGATTTACTAGCAGACGTATTATCTGTGCTTGAGTGATAAAAGACAAAACTTGAGGTGTGAGTTGTTTTATCACAGCTGTTGTAAATCATTGCACTGCGTCATGCTCGGGTAACATTCCCAAGCTTTAAGCAAACACAGACATGAGCGCAGTTCCCTTCAGTTTGAAAAAGCATGAAATATAATTTGCATTCACTGACAAATAAAAGAATAATAGGGTTAATAATCTCTTTAAAGTCCACATAAAACAAGAATTAATATGCCTCATTCTTTTTTAAACCTTATTTATTGTTTAAAAATTAGCTGCATCAAGGTTTATTTGGTAACAGCTGTTTAATAGGTGCGTTTTAGAAATGACTTTGAGATGAGATTAAGGCAATGATACAGTGAGTTTTCAAAAGATTTGTATAAATCTGTATTTCTTTAAAACACTGGCTAATGAAATATGACAAATATTATAATAGACTTGGAATACTTTGTCTTGGCCACATAATGGATATAACTCAGTTTTTGCCTCCTCGGCAGCTAAATGCTACATAGCGTTTACTAGCTAGCTGCTAAACTTGTCTGTAATTCATATAATTAACACAAATTGCCTGAAATTTGATTATTTAAGCTTTTTACTGCATGTTTTGGCTAGAAAGCCTGAGAAAACTCACATTTATGCAGAGAAATTCTACTTGATTTGCAAAACAGTGCTAAAAAGAAGGAAGAAAATAGCTACATTAAAAACTGACGGTAAGCTAACTAGGTGCTAGCTTTAGCTATAGAGTTAGCATAGAAAGTTAAAGGAAGAATAAGTTTATCTTCAAACTCTCCCCATTCTGCTTGTGGCTTAGATTAACACTATAATGCACCCATATCTCTGACTAATCTTACCAGTCAATTATGCGTAATATAGGCAGCTGGTTTTGATAAATATGAATAGAAATTTCTCACATGAGTTTTCCAGTAGTCACGTGGAAACCGGTCATGGAGGAACAATGTGTATTCCGCAACTGTCACAAGGTGCATGCACTTAAAACCACCTTGTGATTGCCTTGGTCATGAGCAGATTGCCACAGTCGCCTGTAGTTCTTGTGGAAGATGCCGACTTGTCTGCAAACACTGCTAGTCGATCGGAAATAAAAGTTTCACCTTCAAAAGTTGAACCTCCCCGCTACAGCAAACACAAAAACGGCTGCTGAGGCAAACTTCAATAGCTCTGTTTCTGCCGTAGTTATTTTGATGCTTTTTTAAAAAAAGCATAAAATAGATGATTTTGCATGTGAAGGCAAAAATATACGAAATTCTAAGATGGAAAAAATGCAAACCAAGGCGACACCTTTATGGTATCAACCCTAGTGAAATTCCAAACAAGAAGCCAAATAAGGATATTTTATTATTTCTGACTTTATAGTTACAAACTATGCTCAAACTATATAGTTACATGTCACACACAAGTGGCCAAAAACCAAATCCTAATATTTAAGTTGCTTCAGCATTTTTTCTTCTTCCTCTCAGGTCAAAATCTGGTTCCAGAACCGTCGCTCCAAGTTTAAGAAGCTCTACAAGAACGGAGAGTTTCCGCTCGGTGATATTCCTCTTGAACACAGTCCAGACGCCAGCGACTCCATGGCCTGCAACTCTCCTCCATCCCCAGCTGTGTGGGAAAACAACAACAGTAGCAATGGTAACAATAACAGCAGCAACCACAGCAGCGGGAGCGGCAACAACCCAAACGTCAGCAACGGTAGCGTCAAAAATAGTGCAATGCTGGATCCTACCAGTAGGGGGCAGGTTCCCTATCAGCCTCCGGTGGATTCTTCACCTGCCTATATGGGGGAATACACACACCAGAACTGGTACCAACAGCAGGGTGCACACTTAGGTCTCTCACAGTCAGGCCAAGTGCACCACGCACCACCAACTGCTCCGTCGGCCACACAGAGTATGGGAGCCGTCTACTGATGTAGAAAAATGGACAACATTTCGACTGGAGTCCTGGGCTTCACCTGGGGCTTTTGTTTTTTTTTTTGGATGATTCTGAGCTGTGCTGTGTGCAGAAACACCTGACAGTGATCATCAATTCCAAGTCATAACTGCAAAAACCCGAAACACATGTTGTCACACAGGCTGCAAATGTGGATTGAAAACAAGTGTCGGCCTCATTTACCCTCCACCGCTCACAAGGTGAACTCACAACACTGTGGGAGACCGGGGTGATTCAACTGGGTTTTTTTTAGTGCAGAGACTCACATTTATATTCGATATCACTGATAACAGTTCATGTTTTGTTTATAAATATTTGAATTATGAATATATTTATGCAGAAAAATATAGAAATGCTCAGTATTTCCCTCACACGTTTCTTCTTTCTGTAAGGGGTAGTTAGACTTATTCCACTAAAACTGGTAATACTACTGAAAGTCGCCCATCAAAAGAAAGCCTGCCACACTAGAATAAAATAGAATATGACAGCTTGATGACCATTACACGCATAACATATCAACGCAACAGCGAAACAGAGGAGAAAAATTACCAGCATGTAATTTCACATTTGCAGGAATGAAACTTGTTTTCCTCTGTGGAACAACAAAGCGGACTTAGCAACACAAGCAAACAGGTGGTTTTGGTTTGTGTGGAAGTGAAGAGCATAGCTTGTGCTCTCAGTTTAGAGGTTTGGCTTAGACTAAAAGTGATCCCCCCCCTTCAGATAGAGCCGCACTTCTTGTTCCAGTATTTACACCAAAGGTTAGGCAGGTTAACCAGCTGCTGGTTGTAGCTACAAAGTCAGCATCTGAACATGAGTATGAGCAGTGTATTAAACTCACCTCTGGGGGCTAGTGGCTAAAAGCCAGAATAGCTGCTTCTAGCCAATATAGTGAGTTAGAAACAAAGCTAAACTAGCTGAAATATGTTTTAAAAACACTTAAAGATGCTCTTTTAAAAAGTGGCTCATATTCAATTCCACCCCATAATTTCAGTGAATGGCATGATGCAGTCTGCCATATTGGTTGTGAAAAATATATAATCCCCATCTGGTTGGCGAATGAGTCCTGGAGGTTGCTTGCAGCCAACGGGTGACATTGGTCACAAAGGGGGCGCTGCATCAAAAACCACTTTGTAATTGCGCCAATCAAAAGCAGAGTGCCACAGCTGCCTGTAGTTTGCATAGGAGACGTGGACTTGTTTGCAAATCATACATGGGATAAAAGATGAGGTGAACGTTTCTTCCGTTGCCGTCCTGGTGGCAAGAAACTGAATGTGAGAAGAAGGGGCAAGCGAGGGGAAAATACCAGGGCTAAACTCTCAGGTTTGAAACATGGTATGATGAAACGTGATTTTGTTTTTTTCCAAAATAGCTCTACTCAGTATGACCCAAACTAAGTGACTAAGACAATGAACTCAGCAGGAAATTGTTTACAGAGGCTAAGTTAGAAAACGTTTTTGCAACAACAGCTATCACCATCTAGTGGCCTAGATAGGAATAAAGTACACCTGCACTGGCTTTATTTTTCTGACCTGGAAGCTATGTCAATTTTTACATACTTTTTACTTGATAACTACTTTCCAAGTCAATTATTTGACAAGTAGAGCGCTTTGAGTACTCCAGGAGAGTAGAAAAGCGCTATATAAGAATCAGTCCATTTACCATTTACCAAACCTTAAAAAAGGGTGCTACAAACTACACATGGAGAATATTTGCCTTCACAGTAAATGTTATGTCAGTGCTGCAGCCATCACATTTAAAAAGGCAGTTTTTACTATGAAGGCAAATGTTCACCACTTTGGTGGTTTGCATCACCCCTTTTCAGTTTTCCTTACTGTTAAACTAGTAGTTAGTGAGTGTTTGCTGAGAAGTCGTCCAAACAAACTATGGGCGAACATGCTAATCTGCTAGCAATCAATGCAATTACAAGGAGACTTTTGCGGCACCATATAGTTCTTTGCGATCAATTTCACCTTAGGCATGCCAGCAACCATTTGCCAGTTGGTGGAGGGTGGTTACCAGGGGGGTCAGTAACCAGTCTCTTGGGCTCTGGGGCCCTAAGCTTTATTTAGATCTTTGCATTTATTCTATAGAAAGTCTGTGATCTAGCTTACACATTTACGCTGTAGTGTGTAGTGTGTGTAGTGAGCCTTTGTTGCTGTGCAATACCACTGCCAAAACATTATTTGGAAGTAGAGTTTCTCTCCTCAAGTAGATTTTATTTCAGTCAATTTAAAAAATTAAGAAGAGAAAGTAGCTGTTAGCGCAGAGGAGGAATCAGCGATACTGGTCTCAAGTGTCAGTGCAGGTGGCGCTGATCCGAAACATAGTTGTATTTATAAGGAAGTACACATCAGATTATGGCGTAAGTTGTGGTGTAGGGTTTTAAAAAGTTTATAAGAGCATATAAGTAGAACTAATCTAAGTTAAGATAGGCTAAGCTAACTAGCTGCTAACTGTTGCTACACAGTGAACACACATACTTGAGCGGAGTTTGACTCCTCTGCTGGAATCCTCCACTCCCGGTCACAGAATATGCATTGCCTATCCAAAGACAGACATATTATTCAGTTAATCTTTTTTTTAATAATAAATGCCTCCAACAGAGGTTTGGTGCGCAGCTACAAAAAGTTAAAGGGCAGCTGAGCCTGAGCCAAGCTGTAAAAATGCTAATGCTTAAAATACAACCTACAAGTGCCATAATTCACCACATTGTAGTATAAATTCCCACATCTTTTAAACATCATAGCCCGGCCTTTCTTTAAATCTTAAACCGAGATAACCCTGATTATATCACTTTAGTTATTTCCTCACACTTTTAAAGCCCTTTGGTCTTTTCGCTAGCTCAGTAATACTTTTTTATTTTAAAAAACAAAGCAAAACAAAATCCCCTGGCCTTTCACTTCCTAGCAAGTTGGTGCTAAAATATTTTTAAAAACAAGTTGTTTATAATCTTTCAACAAGTGTGCTGTGCTCAGGTTTTTTATTTATAGTGTCAAGTGTAGATATGAAGTAGCACAACAGTTTGTGCCTTTGGAGCTTTTTTTTTCTGTAAAGTTGAAAAAGCAAAGCGAAAATAAAATGTACTATTTTGTGTATTTCAATCTGCTGCTGGTGTTTTCATTTCTACCCGTGTTTACGCGTGAATACACCAAACACACGAAGGCGTAGTGCTGACGGCGCGCTCTTGGTGTGCCTCTCGGAGTGAGTCAGACAGCAGATCCAGGTTGCGCCCATCTATATATTTTACACACACAAACAGGCAGGGTGCGTGTAAAGGAGGCTGTGGGAGGTGACAGCGCAGCAGACACTCTGGAGTCTCTGGATGCTAATAACACACCGCTGACACTGAGAGAGACGGCTGTACGCCGCTTTCATGTGGCACACACTTGAAAAGGGGAGGAGAAATGTTTGTGTGGCAGTGTTAGCGTGTGTGTGTGTCTGTGACAAACAATCTACACTTAACCAACCAAACCCATGGGTTAGCTAACAAAAAGAGGGTGTGACAAGGAAGAAGAACACAGACTTCAAACAATGTTACTAGGAAGAGTGCAAACATGACATTGTGTCCTTGTCTGAAATACCATGACATTAAAAGGAATGGCAAGGAAAGTTATGCAAAGCAATGT